TCCCAGTATGTTCAGTCCTTCGGAGTATGTCTTGTTATGCAGACGTTTTACCAATTTCTCTTCCATCCTTTGCGGACGTTCTAGAGCCTTCTTGTCGCAGTTCCACCATGGGTTCCATACTTGAACGGTGTACTCCGTGTGTGGCCGAGCGAACGCTGATGACAAGCGGGGGAACAGTGCTCTTTCTAACTGTCCGAAAACACGTCTGAGTAGTCCAACTTGCTTTAGAGCCATAGATGATGCTCTGGNCTTACGTCCTCCTGAATCATAACTCCCAAATCCCTTTCAATAGTCGCAAGCGGTAGTATTTGGTTCCCCAGAACATAGGAGAAACGAGTCTTATGCCACATGGAATTAAATCTGCATTTAGGAACGTTGAACTCGATGTCGTTGGCGACTGACCATCGGTGGGCTGTGTCGATCGTTTGTTGGAGTGCTATTTGATACTCAGGAAGTGTTACAGTTCTCCAGGTCTTAGCGTCGTCGGCAAATAGCAGTGTATTAAACCCAAGGATATGTGGCAGGTCGTTTATGAATGACAGAAAGAGACGAGGCCCCAGTACGTATCCTTGAGGAACCCCTCGGGCAGCGGTGATAGGCTCTGATAATAAATGACCAACACGAACTGATATGGTCCTTTGTCGGAGAAACTCTTTGATCCAGTCCAGAACCCACCTCTTACTCCGTAGTTGTAGATTTTTCGCAGTATAATTTGGTAGTTTACTCGATAAAATGCCTTGGAGAAGTCCAAATAAACTATATCCAATGGCCGACCTGCATCAACGGATTTTGTCCACTCATCCCGTGCAAGACGTGGGTTTGTGGTGCACAGATGCTTGGGCAGAAATCCGTGCTGAGTGGGAGACAAAAGCTCATGCTTCTCCAGATATTCCATCGACAGATCTACCACAATAGCCTCCATGACTTTCGACAATATCGGAAGAGGTGTAACAGGGCGGTTGTTGGCTGGATCACTGCAAGATCCCCTTTGTAAATGGGAGAAACCACCCCTTCCTTCCATGACTACGGAATTACTACTTGGTTGAACATCCTTTGGTAAAGAACAGCCAGAGGTTCAGAAATTTTATTGGGTAGCGACATCAGAGTCCGGGGATGCATGTTGTCTGCGCCTGGGGATGAATTCCTACGCAAAGTTAGTAGTTTTGCTCTAACTTTCTCACTGTCAAAAGCCATGTTAACCAGTGACAGATCCGGTGTGCAGGGTTGTTCAGTTAGAATCTGTAATGCTTTGTGTGTCGTTGCGGCAAACACCTGATTAAACTGTTTTTAAGGAACTGTTGAGCTTCTAGAGTAGTGGTTGAAACATGTCCAGACGATCTCAATGCTGGTGTTTCGCATTTCACCTTCCTTGTAAGAGTGATATGTTTATAAGGCAATTTTGGATCATAAATTAATTTTTGAGCCAGGGTTTCTTGGCACATCAATTTGCCCTCTCGTACAAACTTGGTACTCTGATTTCGCAATAAGGAATAATTATTCCAAGTTCCGATAGATGGACACCTTCTGTACTCCCTCCAGGTAAATTTCCTTTGCTCTATCCATTTCTTTGTTCGGCTGCGAATGAATGAATGACGAGTTTTAGATTTAGCACGAGTTTCATATTTGTTGCAGCCGTTACAATTTCTATGTTCTACCAAAAGATCGTGATCATCTTCTGGGAGGACCCATTGCTTAAGTATTACCAGGTTTTTCAGCTTTTTGTAGTCTATGGTGGCACGAGTGCTGCTCTTTCGTTTGCTTGGGTAGAGGCGTAGCCTATATAATCAAACTTCAATACGCCATGATCACTACGTCCTAGTGGAGACGTGACATTGACAGATTCCACCATCAGCTCCTCGTTAGGCAGCACTAAATCCAGTGTTGATGGTTTGTGACCTGCTCCAAATCTGGTGGGTTCTGTTACGTGGTTGTATAGTGGGTGCAATCCAATAAACTGAGATAATTATCTCTAGAATGGCTGGCGGGAATTCCTCGTTCTTATGAGATTGGGGCAGTTAAAGTCACCCATTATGAAGGCATGGGTGAACTTTAGTGATAACGCATTCTTCATGGTTTGCAACAAAATCTCGTTGACTGAGTCTGAAGATGCGGGAGGTCGGTACACAACAACGATTAGACACCTATCATTTTGGAGAGTCTTATTGAACTCCATAAGAAATCGGAGGCTGCGTCGGGAATATTAAGCTGTTCACACTGTAAATTGTTTCGATGATAAAGCAGCACTCCACCGCCTCGTGTAAGACGATCACGTCTGGGCAGCGACATTCTAGATAGAAGCAATTCCGAGTCGAGAATGTCGGTGGTCAGCCAGGTTTCAGTAATGGCAACAATGCCAAATCGATTAGTTTTCCAACGAAGTTCCATCTCGGAGAATTTGCTAAGGTAACCTCGTGCATTGGTATAAAAACATGAAAGACATCTTCGGTAAAGAAATCTATCTTAGTATGTAGTGTTGTTTCTTCCGACCAAATTGGGGTCGGCTAATAATGTTTTTTGTAGAATTGGCTTCGTCGATGCTGCTTGGTGAACGCGGAGTGATAAAAACTGCGCTAGTCGAGTAAGGTGGCGTGTCAGTATCGGTTTCCGTTTTCGGACTTTCCTGAGATCCAGTATTATGTAATAGTCTTGGGCGTAATTCCAGTGGACCTCTTTTTCTTCTATCCTTCCACGAATGCAATACAAAGTTGGCCATTTCTGGGATTTCATTATCCTCGGGCCGTTCCCATGGTAGTTCGTTGAGCTGAATTGACGACTAACTGCGGTAGTAAGAACCTGTGTGCAGCTAAGTAGTTCTCGAATGATAATACTCCATTCCTTGCAGTCGTTTCGTTAGCATAGGGATTTGTCTGGATCGTCCAGTTGAGGGACTCCATGAATTAGAACAGCCCGTTTGTTCTCGGATTGCCGTGGGTTTTTTGGGTTAGTGCGGTATTGTAAACTCTCCATCCAGGGCCTATCTAGAAGTATTCTTGTTCTACACGAATCTTTCTTTAAAAGGTAACTAGAGAGAAGAACGTTTTCCAGGTCCTTCTCGTCTGCAAAGGTTATGCGAGTCAATCGTGGTTCGCCAGCATTCGGCGGCGATGGATGGCAAAACGGCCGCACGATTCCAACTAGGTGAAGGTCGATACCCATTTGGTTACATAAATCAGCCCAGCGATCAAGCTGCTCTGCTTGTTTCTCCCTCAGTGTATTTGTTTTAGGCTCTGGCGCGTTGGCACAAATGACTATCATTTGGGGGTTGTAATTTGCCTTATTTATCTTCGGCACTGGATTGTGCTCCTCAATAATCTGAGCTTTAGGTTCAATGAGTTGTGTCGACTCTTGATCGTTGGCATTATCCTGTACTGACTTGGCTCTGTCGTCTAGTTTGAGACTGGGTATTGACAATGCTGTAGTGGGGCTCTTTAGAAAACAACGAGGTATTTTTCTGGGTCTGCGAACTGGACTGGGAAGGTTGACCTGAGAACTCAAACGCAGTTATCTTTTCTTCCAGTAAAGTGATTTTTTCTTTTTCTTTTTGCTCCGCTGCCGATAGTAGCTTTTCAAACTTTTCTATCACATGTTTCATACACTTCACTATCGGATTTTCTGAGCAATCGTTACAAAACCACAAACTGTATGGCTGGATCATGATCTGTTTTTTTCGTTTGGTC